ACCTCGGCAACAAAGAGGTTCCCGAACAATAAAAAAGGGAAAAAGTCAGACCCATTCCCGAAAAAACCAGCCGGCTCGAAAGAGGTGACACATGAAATTTGTGTCTGGCGATTTTTCTCGGTTTTTCTCGTTTCTTTACAGACGACAGAGGGCCTGGAATGTTATTTGATGCGGGCCCGGCATTCTGCTGAAGGGGAGCATTAGGACGAAGGGGGAGGGAGAGTCAAGCAAAAATTAGAATGTATTTCAGGTCTAAAAGAGTGGCGCATTGCTGCAACATCGTTCCTCAGCGAAGGAGGCAGTTTGGGAGGGGGGAAGAGTTGTTTTTTTTTTTCTCGCAGCGAACTGTTGCTAGGAAACACTTGTGGCTTCTCATCTCCCCTCCTCCTCCTCGAAATGCCAGAACTAACTGACAGAGAGAAGCAGCTGAGCGAAATGTCAGCTCTATCCTCCCAGGAGTTCGGAGAGTGTGGCGCATGTTCTATTTAAGTGTCCGTGTTTATCAAAGGGGTTCTCGACTGAGTCAACACCGGCTTTTTCTTCTTCTGCCGGAGCAGAGAGTGTGTTTTTAGGATGCATATAGGCATCTTCTCTGCGCCAGGTTGGCCGTCTCTCCTAATTTCAACCTCTAAGTCTGTCTTTTGAGAAGATTCGGCCTCATTTGTCTTTGTTTTTCTCTCCCTCTCAGTGGAGTGTTGTTACTCCATCTCCCACCAGATTGTCATTTTCTTTGCCATTTAATCGCCTCCACTGATTTCCTCTCTCCTTTTTTTCCCACATTCGGAGCCACACACCTCATCAGTGTAATCCTCTGCCCATGCATTTTTATTGTAAATGACGTCTGGTTGTGAGAGGCTAAACTCTCCACTGCTACCCGAGTCCATTCTCCGCGCTAAATTGTAATTCGGAGAGCGTAAGGAGCTTAGAATTTAAATAAAAGAACTCAAATTCTACAGGGACCTGATCTGCTCCAGAGGACATCAGTTTTTTTTTTTCCCACTCACTTCTGCAGTTTGTTTTAGACGTGTCTGCGTTGCCATGGTAAAGGACCACTGTGTGAAGCTTCACTTCTGTTCTGTCATTGACACAGAAAGGAGACTAGTTTACATCTTTTAACCCAATTATAACTTATAAACTCTCAACACAATTATTTGCAGGACCTTCACTGACCACATAGGCAAATCTCAAATTTGCTGCTCACAACACACTCCAAAAAGGTTTGGAGAGAGGCATGTTTTTCACTGAGTTGCAACCTTCTCCCTCTTGTTTACACTTTTCAATAGTTTTGATAATATTCTTTGGCCATCTTGAGCCATTCTTGCTGAATAAAAGATATTACCTGGCCAGCCTTTTCTATTTCTACTCATCAAAATGCATTATATCCTGGATTCAGTTATTTGGATGCTGTGATCAACCGGTTATTGGGCTAAGGAATATCTGATAGGAAAAATGAATTAGATTTGGAACCATGCTTCTCTTACTGACAGTGATCCTAACTGGACTTCTTGATAGTTAGCTCAGCAACAGTCATTCTAATAAAACAGTTGGAGACAGATTGATGTTCAATCAGACACACATTTTAACACAGACATTCGGATAAGAACTAAGGACTTTCCTGACTGGAAACAAATCATTTTAAACAGTTCAGAAGCCTCATCTCCTTCTGGAAACAGTCCCCTCTGGACTTTAAACTAGGTAACCTATTTGATCTTACAAGGGAAAGTACACTAGGTGTTAGTGAACCACACCAACCCCCCCAAAAAGTCAATTAGAGACTTTTTTGGGGGGTTAACTGTCTCTAACACACCAAATCCTTCACAGGGCTTTGTATTCCATTTAGACTGTTTTACCCTGTGAGTTAATTAGAACAGATTCTGATTTGTTGTCTTCAGTTATTACATTGTACAAACTTCTCAAAGCAAACTCCTTATCCACACGTTTTACAGCATTCATCCCTCCACCTTTGTTTTCCATTGGATCACAGAGAAAATCCTATCGCTAATTTATTTGCATGTCTTGTCTGAGGACATAGGGGGTTAATTGTCTCGTAATAAACGTCCCACACACACTGAATACATTCTGCCAGTTATTTCTCTCCCATTTTGTCTCCTTAAGCACTGATAAAACACTTCTGTGCCTGTTGACAGTACGTACTAATGAATTTGTTTGGCGGGGGGTTGATTGGAGTCATGCAAAGCTTACTTGCTGCCGTGAAAAACTTAATGCAGCACGTACATTTTCCACCTCAGAAGAAGAAAATCTAACAAATCAGTCACATGCAAGCCTCTCTTTTGGATAACTTCATCATTCCCTATCCTCCATATGAAACATTGACAATAGATACATCCTGAGATCTGATTTTTTTGACCGTGGCAAAGTATACCTTTTCAAAGAAGTACGACTAAAACCCAACTGATGCCGTATGACTTTCTGTTCGGCAACAGAAAGCCCACAAGGTGTGCCTTTTCAAGTGCGTAAATGTACTCAGTATCAATATTGACAGTGGGGGGAGTGGGCATCCTGTGGCCTGGACCTGGAGCTTCCACAGCAGTCTGGATGTCCAACAGTTGCTGCTTTGTGTTTCACCCCACAGCGCCTGCAGCAGCACTGCAGCTTCTCTGTATGACCGGTACGTATGTGCCTTTTTTCTCCCGCAAGAAATTCTGACTCGAATCCTATTCGAATGTAACATTTTTCCTCATTCTGTTGGATTTTGTCATAGAATGCCAGAATTGTAAGAATGTATTTGATATGAATCTTTGGGTGAAATTGCAAAGAAATAGATATCCATTTCTGCTTCATGGTAATATAAGAATGGCACAAGTGTCATTTTAATTCATTGTAATTTGTTTTTAAAATACATATTCTGCCTTTTTTTTCTAGTTTCGGTCCGATTAAAAAATGAGACTGTTGTTAAGAGTCTTACTTCTGGTATGCTGTGAGTAACCTTATCTTATCTTCTATCACCTACCCCTACATTTCCCCCCTAACTTGCATGCATATGAAATGTGCCTGGAGCATTTTAACGATGATTTCATCACCACAGCAACAGATACACACACTTATAATGTTTACACACAACCACTTACTATACGTCTCACATTTGCAAACATAAACCCACCTACATTTTCCATTCAGTATCACACGGTCACAAGATTTCCATTTTAGAAACAGTCTATGAAGACCCTATTAAAGGACTGTAAACACAAACCTTAAGGGGTTTTGGGTGTTGGCACAAGTGGATGACACATATTTAAAGCATGACTGAGTGCTTAATGCAACATTTCATTATTGCATCTAACAGTAAGGCTAAAGGCAAAAACACTCACTCTGGGGGATTGTTCCGTTACATGAAAAGAAGAGATGACAGGCCTGGCGAGAGGTCCGGATGAGTAAATGGACACACGCCAGCCAGTCTGTCTCATGTCCGTCTCTGTCCGTATCAATCTGTGTTATCGCTTTAATTCCTGACGCCACAAAGTTGCGAGCGGCCAAACATACACTATATTGCCAAAAGTATTTGCTCACCTGCCTTGACTCA